GTACCTGCAAATTGCTTTCCAAAATGGATGAATCAGTTACAGTTCCACCAACAATGGATGAGTGTTCTTCCATCCTTAACGCTTGGAATTAATCTTTGTAATTTCCCAATATGATGGATCTTGTTTTAATTTGCATTTCTCAAATTACTAGAATGTTTGAGCACCACTTCCTGTTCTTACCAGCTATATTCTCCCTACGTATATGCTATTCTTATTCTTTGCTCATTTTTTACTGAATCTCCTGTCTTTTACTTGTTAATTTGCAGTTCCTTGAGATGTCTCTATATTAATGTCTTATCAGCTTTATGCAGTGATAAAAATCATCTGTTACCAGCCTATTAACTTTGTTTAAGGTGTTCATTTACTAGAAATCCTTCATTTTGATATAGCCATAACCATCATTTTTTTTCAAATTTAAAAATATTTTGGGGTCATATTTAAGAAGTATAGTCCTTCACTTACGTCAGACATATCTATATTTTCTTCTATTAGATTTATTGTTTTGCATTTTAATCTACCTTTAATTTATCTGGAATCCAACTTTGTATATGCTGTAAAATAGGGATTTATTTTTCTCCACATCGTGCATCAATGTTCCAATATTGTCTTCTAAATAGTTTGTCATTTCTCCATTATGTAAGTGGTGCCTCTTTATTATATGCTAGTCATTTTAAATATATATATATACATATATATAAAGAAGAATGCTCTTGGGAGAGCAATGGTTCAGAGGAAGAAAGGGTAAGACAAATACTCCTGCCCAACCACTTTCAGGAGGGTAATAGTAACACTGCTCTCTGCAAGGTCAGCTTTCTGAAGTCACGTGGAAACAGGAACCCTTTTAAGTACACCCAGCAACTTCAAATGGATTTTTTGATCACATATTAAGAGATAAGCTTATTAGATCAAACGTCACAGAGATGGTATGTGAATTCTTGTAATTCTTTCAATGTGTAGTGGTATAACAATGTGCTTCCATGTCATACTACATAAAAACAAAAACACACTGAATGTCTTTTACACACTGCATCATATCTGTACTTGTGTACCAGCTATTTAGGATCTCAGTAAACCTGTTATCCACAACATTTTCCAATTTTTCTAAAACTTCCTACAATTCCTGGAACGAAATTATAGTTAACTGGGAATTTCGTTTGTTTGTTGATCATATTATTTACCTTGCAATAATAATAAGTAAAGAGCTCTGGTGGCATAGTGCCTAAAGCATCTGACTGCTAATCAGAAGTTTGAACCACCAGCCACTCCTTGGAAGGAAGAGTGGGCAACCTACTTCCATAGTGATACTGCCTTGGAAACCCAAGGAGGGGTCGCTATGAGTTGGATCAGACTTGATGGCAGTAAGTGACTGTGAATGAGGAATAAAGTAGCTAAAAATAAATCTCCCTTATGACTTAATTCAGAATTCTGTATCTAGAAAGTCATGGAAAAAAATGTCATTGGTCAGCTGAGCAAGAGTCCACATGATTTACAGTCCTGGAGTTTACATGCAGAGGGAAATCTTGCTCATGAAAGTCATGATATATTCGTATTTGCCTTTTGTTAGGGGAGGAGCTCTAGTGGTGTAGTGTCTAATGCATTTGATTACTAACCAGAAGGCCAGAGGTTCAAATCCACCAGCCACTCCTCAGAAGGAAGGTTGGGCAATCTACTTCTATAGTTATATGCCTCAGAAACCCAAGGAGGGTGAGTCAGATCCAACTTGATAGCAGTGATTTTTGTTGTTGTTGTTGTTGTTGTTGTTAGGGGGGACATCATCAGAGACTTCAAGGATTTTTGGGTAAAAAATTAACTCTAGGCAACTATTCATGGAGTCTTTTACAGGAACATACAACAGTGCAAATTATCAGCTTAAATAAATATTTGCCTTACCCTTGGATGTGACTGGAAATCATTTTAGATTCTGTTATTCTGTTATATTGCCCAGTGATGCTGAACAAGTTGAAAACACAGCCAAGTAAGTCCTATTTCCCTTCGAAACTAATAGTACGTGGTATTATGAGCTAGAGTCCATACTGTTGTTTAGCACCAACCAGTCCTCAGATTGTTCCATTTTCAATGCTGATGCCATTTTCAATGCTGATGAATGAACTTGAACTTTAAGAGCAGAAGATAAAATTCAATCCACCTAACAACATTTAAGGAACGCTCATTATACCTAGAGGCTTCTTGAGAGTGTCACAGTCAGACTTGGTTGTAGTTAAATACAAATTTACAAACTGTCATTCCTAACTTCTCTGTATTTTAATCTTGATCAAAAACTTGTGATAATTCACCATCACAGAACAAAAAGAATTGTGATCTGTATTTTAAGATATACACAGCTGATCTGTTATTATCAAAATCTGTGTTTTATTATATTTCAGAAGATTTCTAAAATTTTTGCTTTAGAAAAACAAGGAAGATTTTTGGCACATCACAATGGAACATCCATCTAAAAGGTCCTGCTTTACCAGAAGAAAATGGTAGAATGTGATAGTATGATGTGAGTGATGCATCTGTGCCTCCCATTCCCTTCATTTCCTGAGACAGAGTGTAGGAGAGTTTCAAATAATAGCAGATAATTGCAAGTTGTTGTGAAATCACAACAGCTACAGATCAACTTGAGAAAGAGGTACAAAAAAATGCATATGCTCTTTTTCACTGAAGGCTCTTGGCTCATATGAATCTAGCTAGGACTGTTCTCAAATTGTGAACATGCTCTAAAATGACAGCACAAATATTAAACTAGAAACAGACATCAGATGTATTAATGGGGATAAGTCTACAATTTTCTCCACAACTTAAAAAGTTTTTTCTATTAAACTTTTACTGGAACTTAGGTATCATTAGGACATACTCCTTGATCTACTATTTTGAGTATTTCTGAAATCAGTGTCAGTGACACTGACAATTCTGTTGCTATTCTAGAGAAACTTTCCTAAGACAAAATGTTATATTGGAAAAACTCATGTAAGCTCTAAATGTTCTAGTCATATATACTTTTTATTAAAAGAACATATGGAGTGTCCAGATTGAATATGAAATGATTTATTTCAGTGTATTCTATTGCTTTCATTCATTGATTATATGTTTTCCAATATCGTAAAAAAGAAAAGGTTAAGTTTCTACTTGCCATTAAACATTTTGAGGAAAAAATTTTAGTAATTATAGATCACTATAGAGTTCTGATCTAGTTTAATAATCCATTGCTAGTAACATGATTGAGACATTACAAACAATGCTGACAGATTATTTAAAATGAATTAAATCCATTAGGAGCAATGGAAATCAATGACTTATTCATCACACACACAAAAATAAATGAAATAAATTTTATGCAGCAAAAGATATTTTTCCATTTAGAAAATATTTATATATAAACTTCTGATCAATTTATAAAATTAACAGGTTTCATTTGCTATAAAAGAACAAACTAAAATGTGAAATAAAAACAACATCACAAATGTCATTTACAATCAAAGTAAAGATGTTTTTTTTAAAATGAACAATTTATAGCAAAGTGTTCTTGCAAATGGACATTTAGTAAACTAGAATAATTTGGCTGATGTAAGAATTACAAAATGATTATTTGTAATTATTTCAGCATGCTGACCCAGTCTGCTCCATTCCTATTTCTACTCATCTAGGGATGGTACAATGATGAGCAGGAAAATATACACATAATTACTTATCTAGGTAACGTACTTATTCAGTAGATGCAGGGATGACCTACATTAACAGGTATTAGCATAACAATACCTTTGATATTATTCCCATTACACAGATATGGGACTAAGCCATCCACTCACATACTCTGTACCTATGTTCATGTGGCAGTTCTTGGATCAAAGACCATGATTAACTTAAAATACCGTCTCTTTGATGGAGTAGAATCAAGGGAAGAGTTTTTTCCATTATCATGTTGCCTCTACCTAAAATCTTCATTTGGTAGAACCTTACTCATTTTCTTAGTTTAATTCATAAATCACCTCTTCTCTGAAGTATCCCTTCCCTAACTGAAATAGATTTCATTACTCCTGGCTCTGTTCCACATAGCATATTATTTATAATTTTTGTAATTATAACATTATCATTTTATATCATAATTAATGATACACATATCTTTTTCTCACAAGACTTAGTCAAGGATTAGCCATCATTATATCCCAATCATTAGTTAGCCTGGTTTAAGGCCTGGCATGGAGTAGTGTTAAATAATATTTTTTAAAATAAATGGAATGAGTGACTCATTGAGAGGGCAGCAGGAAGAAAGATTGTATTCTAACTCTATGTGTCCTTGAAATACATTCTGTCAGTGGGAGAATAAAAGGCTTAATAGCAAGGCAGTAGGTTAACATAAAATTATAAAGAATGATGAAAAAAATGTATATTAAGGTAGTAAAGAGATACTCTAAATCCAAACAACACATCACTACAGCTAACCTCACAGGTGGACATAATCAGAAGTAAGCATGGTACCATAGGAAGAATTTCACTCCTGAATAATCAAGATTGTTTTTGTTCAAATATAAAATCTTCTTGTATGTGGAAGATTGGGCAATCCACTTCCATACAGATATCACCTTGGAAACCCCAAGAGGGGTCGCTATGAGTTGGAGTCGATTCTACGGCAGTTAGTTTTTTTTTTTTTTTGATGCACTCTTTAAGGCAGAAAAAAAGATGGGAAGGATATTAATGGCAATCAAGATGCCTGCCAGAAAAAGAAACCCAATGAATACTAGCAACCCAGCAGTTCTCTTCAGAAAGGGTCTCTAAGATAGCATGCCTTTCACCATCAGTCTGGTGAGAGCAGAAATGGCTGTTATAAATATTAGTAAACAAGTATTATTCATTGAGTTGCTCCCTCAGGCCAAACACTATGCTAAGGGTTTTCATAGATGATCATATTTTACTTGAGTGAGTTAGATATCATGGTCCTCATTTTACAGGAAAGGAAACTGACAATCAGAACAATTAGATGGCTTGCTTAGGTTACAAACTTAATCAATTCAAGGTACAGGGCTCTTCCTATTAGACTCTACAACCACCTCCTTGAGTTTTGGGAAACACTGTTAATCACTCATTGTATTACATTCAGATTAATCCAAATTTTAAGACACTTTGTTTAGGCTATTTCACATTTGCTAAATTGTAATTTGAGGATTCCTTTCACATGAAGTTGGAGAATTTGGCTGTATTCTTTGGGCATCTCGTGGAAACCTCGCTTAGGTAGCTTGTTGTCATAGTAGTGATGGCTGACAGGTGTGTCTTCCACAGTTTTAGAGAAGGGCCAAAATCCATACAGCTTCACATTTTCACACAGTTCAACTGCAACACTAGTGATCATCAAGCCTGAGGACAAGCGATATGCTGTCACACCTTTAGTTCTCCAGAAAAGGGCGAGATGTTTCAGGTACTTGGGATGGAAAAATATGACCTTCTGTCTTGATTGAGACTCTTTTAGTGAGTAGTACACTTTAAAAGAGGCACCGGTGTTGGCCCTGAAGGAAAATGCTGGCAGAAGAAGGAAAACGTCACCATAAGTCGCAATATCCTCCAGAAATACTGCTTTCTTTTCCTTTAAGTTCCCATATCTGCCAAATTAAAAATAATAATTACAACCATAATCATCACTGGAGTTGCAATTTTAGTAACAAGAGGCTGGATTTACCACTGGTAAATTCAGTAATTTTTTCCTCAGGCTGATGCTTCTTTGATACTGACACACCTTCCTAAACTTAAAATGGTAAAATATTTTTTCAAGCATTGTACTTTTAAAAAACACATATACATATTTAAAAACTAGTGGAGCTGTCCATTTGTGATTTCTGCACCTTTTATACGTGTTATTGAACAATAAAAGTTTCCTTTAGAAAACCTAAATTAACTATATGCCAATTATGTAGAAGCTAAATATCCTCCACGCGTTGTGACATCTCTATATATCATTGTCGTTAGGCTCCATCAAGTCGATTTTGACTCAAAGAATCCCTATGTACAATAGAAACAATGCCTAGTCCTGCACCATCCTAACAATCATTTCCATGCTTGAGACTATCATCACAGGTACTGTGTCAAGTCTATCTCATTAAAGATCTTCCCCTTTTTCGCTGACCCTCTACTTCACAAAGCATGATATCCTTCTCCAAGGACTGGTCCCTTCTGACAACATGAACAAAGTATGAGAGACAGAGTTTAGCTATTCTCACTTCTAAGGATCATTCTGACTGTACTTCCTCTTTCTAGCAGTTCATAGTACATTCAATATTATTTGTCAACACCACAATTCAAATGCATCAATTCGTCTGCAGTCCTCCCTATTCACAGTCTAGCTCTCACATGCACAAGAGGCTACTGAAAATACTGTGGCTTGGGGTCAGGTGTACCTTAGTCTCCAAAGCTGTGCCTTTGCCTCTGTCTTATTTTTAACTTTTAATTGGGATTTGGGTAAAGTGTACAGAACAAATTTGTTTTCTATTCAACAATTCATACACATTTTGTTTTGGGACAATGATAGGAATCCTTGCAATGTAACAGCTTTCTTCCCACTTTCTCCCTGTGGTTACCTTTTCCCTATGTCCTTCTTTCCTGTGCATTCCTGCCTTCTGTGATTTTTCCCTGTGTAAATGTTGCCCTTCTGATGTCTCATGGTTGATTGTTCACACGGGGTAACTGTTCAATTTGTAGGCCTATCCATTGTTTGGCTGAAGATTAAGCCACAGGAGATCAATTCCAGGCCTGAAGGGTGACAAGTGGCCATAGTCTCAGGTGTTTCATCAGTCTATATCAGACCAGTAAATCTAGTCTTTCATGTGATTTTGAGGGATTTTTTTTCCCCCCATATATTTCTCCCACTCTATCCAGGATCTCAAATTCTGATCCTTTTTTGAGTGGTTGGCTGTGGTAGCTGGGCACCATCTAGGTCTCTGGTCTCAGGCTAAGGTTTGCGTGGTTCACTAGTCCCTTGGACTAATTGATTGCATATGTCTTTGATTTTCTTCATTCTTCTTTGCTCTGGATGAGGAGAGACCAATAGTTGTATCTTAGATGGCTACTTGTATGCTTTTAAGATGCTAGTTGTTACTCACCAAAGTAGGATTTAGAACAATGAATTGTATATTATGCTGATATTTTTGCCCTTAAGAGGTCTTTTTCAGAAAATTTGCCCAATGCAATATGTTGTCTGATTTCTTGATGTCTGCTTCTGTGGGCATTGATTGTGGATCTAAGTAAAATGAAATCCTGAGGACTTCAATCTTTTCTCCATTTATTACAATGTTGCTTATTTTCCCAGTTGTAAGGATTTTGGTTCTCTTTATGTTGAGGTGTAATCCGTACTGAAGACTGTCGTCTTTGATTTTCATCAGTATGTACTTCAAGACCTCTTTGCTTTCAGCAAGCAAGGTTGTACCATTTGCATATTGCAGGTTGCTAATCAATATTCCTCCAACCTTCATACTGCATTCTTCTTCACATAGTCCAGCTTCTCAGATTATTTGTTCAGGAAAAATTGTTGTTGTTAAGTGCCGTTGAGTCATTTCCGACTCATAGCGACCCCATGCACAGCAGAACAAAACACTGCCCGATCCCGCGCCAGCCCCACAATCCCTGCTATACTTGAGCCCATCATCGCAGCCACCGTATCAATCCATCTCGTTGA